GTGTAAATATTTCTTTCATATGGCAGTCTTCTGTACAGTGATGCAGGTCATACATTAAAAAAATGTTCATTAAATTTTTTTCTCTTAGACATTTGAGAGGTGCATTTAAATGTTATAGAGCTAAACATGTTAGATTGGTGAGTAGTAGTAGTGTAAGTTTTTAACCTGTCAAGTTTTTTTGACGCATGCAGATACACACCAGGAACCTGGAAACTTAAAAAATACTGAATTACAAAAAACATTTAAAAAACAAACATGTCTCATTGATATATATACAAAAATGAATATTAGGAACTATATTTATCAAACATTATACTGGGCAAGTAAAAATTGTTTCTGGGCAAATGAAAATGTGAAAGTCACTTGCCCAATAGGCAAGTGGTAAAAATCCTTAACATGCTCCATACTGTTCTCTCTACCAGTTAGTTTTCCTCTAATTATTTTCCTTTTCTCAGAACCAGAAATACGTTTGCATTGAAAAGAAAAATGTTCTTGCAGGAACCGAGTATTTTCCTGAGCTTTTGAACATCCCTGACCTGATCTTCCTCCCTTCATGACAGTGAGCTCCGTAGCGTGTTAACGCTCAGCAGGTTTGAAACAAAGCCCTGGTTCTTGTTTGCTCTAAACACGTGGAATCCTAAATTTAGCCGTCAGTGTTTATAATGGGGGTTCCTTCTGCTCAGAGACACAACGTGCTCATTTAAGTGGACAGGGTTAATATATAACAGCCTTATAGCTCAGCTGGGTTTTAATGGGTGGGTGAGAACTTGAGATCTATTCCCTTTTATCTCTACGTGCGGCAAAAATGCTGAGCCGTCCGCTTTGTGATGAGTCGTCATGTTCACAAGCGCCACATAAAATCCTGACGCCACCAAAGGAAGGAGATGCAAGCCTGCTGCTGGTTTATATGCAGACATATGAAGCAGCTAAATGAGACTAAAACTCTTAAATCAAATTCACACAAAGGAGTGAAATTAACATCCTTTCTGAACTCTACTGTAAAATAAAAAACTAATTTTCTCTTTTAAATCTCTGCTTCTCTCGAAACAAGGAAGGCCGTGTTCTTTCTGAGGCCTAAACAAACAAAGCAAAGCAAATGAGCAGAAAGCAAACAGTCTATTGTTGGGTTAGGGAAGGATTTCCTCTCCTAGGAGGACAGAATATAAACACGCAGCGACGTAGCTTTTCATGGTTTTATACTTAAATTAAAGCTTTGATTTTTAGAAAGTTCTTTTCTGCATTATAAAAGTCTATTCTGGGAAAACGAGGGATCATAATATGAAGAGCTTTATTCACTGACGCTCCTACAGGTGATAAAAATGAAAGGAATGCTTTTTAGAGATAGGCTGACTTTGGCAGGACCTCATTAAAACATTTCCTAGTACAGCATCAGAAGATATATGATTGGATTCCCAGATTCATTAATTTATTCAGCAGCCAAGCTTTGAAATCACCACTCTCTCAATTTTTAATGTTTTCTTTGATTGTAGCAATAAAACGATTAATTGCATTAACCATAAGTAATTTAATCAAAAGCTAGAGCTATGTAACAGAGTAAAACTGAACAAAAACACTAAAAGAATAACCAATTTACAGCAATAATTAAAAAAATATATAATAAAATATAAGATAATTTTTTTTTTATATATATTTAATGTATTTGCAAGTATCTTGCCTATTTTTCCACATTTTGGCCATTTATAATTCATTTAAAATTCTTGAAAAATTTTGTTTTTTTTCTTCTTTTCAAATGGTTGTGAACAAAGAAATGTTAATTTACTGATTTGCTAAGATAAAGAATCACTAGAATATTTAAAATAAGTAAGTAAATATCAGAGATCAGTTTAACTGGTGTCATAATAATCTGTATTTGTTTAGGATTAAAAATAAAATAACATATCAGTGGATTTCTAATAGAGATAAAACGGGCTAATTTAAGTTTTCTAACTCAATTATCCCAAAGGTGTGATGACGGCTGAAGTTTGTAGAAAAAATGAAAAACTCTACATGGGTATGAAATGTTGAAGGAGGAGAAAAACAAGCATCTATTTAAACTCTCCGTTAAACGCATCCGCCTAATTTTTACTGTATTATTTAAATTAGTTTCCAAACGCGCATCAGACCCACTTTTCCACCGCACAGCTGGAGCAGCAAAGATGCTTCAGCCGCGCGTCAGAACTAAACTAGTACAAGCATCAAAAATGAAGCAGCATGCGCGTTTTTGCAGCTCCTGCTGCTTTAGGTGTGAACGTAGCATTACATGCAAGTCTATGGTTGATGCTCAAGGAGCATCAAAAGGTCCAATCTAGAGCAGCAGAAGCAGCGCATCTTGATGCATCAAAGCAGTGCCTCATGAGCATCTGAGGACTGAAGCGCTTCAAAAGCAGCAGCAGCAGCTGCACATCACGCCACATCAACCAATCAGAAGCTGATGTGAGAGCTGACAGTGAGTCAGACACAGCAGTGCAATGCAGAGCGCTATGATCACTCCTCTGAAACAGTTCATTAATGCCTAAATTAACTTAAAATGTCAAATTCTGCCGGCAAAACATGTTCGCTTTTATTATCTTGGTGCCCGGTGAAAACCGCATTCCAGCCTCAGCGAAAAGCAGCGAAAAATCCCCAAGAGGTGACCGGGACAGATGCTGATGTTGAAGGGGATTCCCAGTGACAGAGCACCGCCGGCGTACGGGGCTTGGAGCGTCTCCGACAGCAAATCAGTGTTGCCAACTCAGCGACTTTGGCTACGTTCACACTGCAGCCTGAAGTGAACCAATTCCGATTTTTTTGCCCATATGTGACCTGTATCAGATCTTGTTATGACAGTCTGAACGACACAGATCGGATTTTTTCAAATGCGACCCAGGCCACTTGGATATGTGGTCCTGAATCCGATACGTATCTGATCTTTTTAAATGCGACCTGTGTCTGTACGGCCAGGTCGCATTCATCCGACCTACACGTCATTGATACTTGACAAATGTTACTAAACGTTACTAATCTGCGTCCTACTAAGCGGAGGCGGGAAAAACTAACAACCATGGCGGAAGATAACACAGAGAGCAGTCAATGGAGAGAAAGTGAGGTTGCTGACTTAATTCATATTTGGAAAGATAGCTCGATTCAGATCAAACTCGAAGGGTCTTACCGGAACCTGGCTCTCTTTCTTTTTGATCTTCTTAAAAAGATTTCGTTCGTAATGTGCCTGCTCCTGTTGGAGAAGAACTTAAAGAACGCAATATACGCTGCGGTATTACGAGTCATGTTTACTTCCGCAAACACTGAGGACGCTTGCTACATGTGACGTCATCGCGTCCTCGAGTGCGCATGCGGGACACTTCGGTTGAACGCTTTCAGTTCACACAGTAGATCACATACAAGTCGCATATACTTGAAAGTGTGAACGGACACGCAAAAAAATCCGATTTCACAAAAAAAATCGGAATTGAGCATTAAGGCCTGCAGTGTGAACGTAGCCTTAGTCGCTATATTTAGCGACTTTTCAGACCCCTCCAGCGACTATTTTTCAAAAAAGCGACTAGCGACAAATCTGGCGACTTTTTACGGTGTCACTGGCGGCTTTTGGAGACTCTTACGTGAAAGCATGTATCGTTCCTACTCTTGTCTTCCAGCGGTAGCTGCTGCCGTGGGGCGCCTCCCCCGTCCCAACCCCGTTCTCCCGCTCCCGCAGGAGTCCCTCTCAGCGCTGCAGTCAGAGCCGCAGGATGTTTACCCTCAGCGTCCAGACTGCAAATGAAGCGCGCAAATCGATCACGCGGTGCCGCTCCGCCCTGACTTACATTCAAGGCGGGAGCGAGCGGGATGTAAATGTAAAATGTTATTTGGTCTAAAATAAATAACTGAATTTGAAATATTTTATCTTAAATAAATAACAGCATTTGATTCACACAGCCACAGTCAGCCACTTAATCACCTTGTCCATTGTGTTTTCCTCTCTAAGATTAACATTGATCTGCTGGTGAGAATCATTAGGTCTCAGTCTAAACTGTACAGTCAAAAATAAAGAAAAGAGGGAATCAAACCCTGAAAAAAGTAGCTCTATATATTGTTTAGTAAAGTGAGTAAAAACACTATTTTATAGTGTTTTTACTCACTTTTTGTCTTTCTGTAACAACATTTTTTCTCCCACAGCATCAATAACATGCACATCACTTCCTGTGGCAGATTATGCAAATTAGGCGCTGACGTCATTTAGCGACTTCTAGCACAGCCAATAGCTACTTTCCTTACTGAGGAGTTGGCAACACTGCAGCAAATTAATATTTGAAGGCAGGATCATAGCCTGGATGAACTGACTGCACTGACCATGTTTTCAGGTGGATTTTTTCACTTGAAAACATTAAAACTACTTTTTAACCCACTGATCACAGCAAATATAGCAAAGCTGCTCTCTGCCATTGAACGCAGGAGAAACAGAAGCATCGGACGCATCTGGACACACTTTACTGGACGCGCTTCAGGAGAATTAAAGATGCTCTGAGGCGCGTCTGAGCTTAATGTGGACAAGCTCAAAAATGAAGCAGCAGACGCTTTTTTGATGCTTTCAGCGCTTCCGGTCTGAAAGCAGCATAATATCAACCAGTCCGATATCAACAAAGGATCATCTGAAAGGTATAGAGGATGTTTTTTCCAGAGCAGGATTTAAGGGTCGAATCAGCTCTGCTAATCCTCCATGATATGGATTTTCTGATACTTGCTCTAACTTTATGCTTTTATTACAGAGCTCTTTAGAACAAGCTAACAAACAGATGAGGGAGGGGGTTTATAGTCTTAAATCAGGTTTGCTGAAGCAAAGAAATCTCTCAAGCATGTCTAGCAGAAAAGGAAGTAGTTTTTTTTTTTTTCACTGCAACATTTTAGACTGGTTCAGAGATGTTTCTTCTCTGACCAGTTTTCCATATTTTAACCTTCTCATAGGTTCCAAAGTTCTGATGAAGCCTCAGTATATTTTAGTCATCATTAAAACCTCCATTTCTGACCTTTTGGATCTTCCTGGGGTCCTTTACGGCGCCTTCTCTCGGTGGGACCTTCCCAAACAGCTTCCAACCAGGATCTTTTTGCTCCGGCGGTCGACTTTCTTTCACCTTCTTGGCAAACAGGTTCCTGAGATAAAGAAGGGATCGAGAAAGTGAATTAGTGAGAAGGGTCAGCATCCAACAGCATGAACAGAGAGGAAGAAGCAAACCTCTGTATGAAAAAGGTAGCCGAACCGTTTCCACGGCATTGTTCAGTCACACCATTCACAAACAGACAAGCAGCTGCAGGAGCCGATCAATTAAAAGCTTCAATAGATTCTGAACACGCTCAAATAATACGCATGATATAATCTGACAGGGAAAATAATGGCTTAGAAGCTCCTAACAATGACTTCTGTTTGCTCTGCAGATCTCATTTTGGGATCTTATTCAGCTTAGCAGCTGGCTCACATAGAGGCTCTATAATTAATACAGGATAATCGATCCAGCCTGCGAGGAAATACAGACCGAAGGAATCAGCTTCAATGTTTTAAAACAGTTTACACTCTTTAGTTTATGACACAATAAGACCAGTTAGGGTGTTTTATATCTAAATATCTTTAGAACCTTTAGGCTGGTTAATTAAGATGGTTTAAGGGTCACCGAACAAACTAATCTTCATAGGATGTCCTGGCCAACTTCCCTACAGCTCCCAGCAAAATCCCCTCCAACTTCCATCCACTGGCCTTCTCCTGGGCGTGCATGTTTCTTTACTCGGACTCCACCCTTACACTGGATTACAGGGTCTGACCAGGAGACGATGCTTCTCTTTAGATCTTAAAGGAATAGTACACCCAAAACATGATTAGCCTTCATTTTCTACTCACCCCCATGCTGAACAACACCCTGGAGTACTTTTTTGATATCTCAAATGCATCTGGAGATCTGGGAGGCTTCTTGCTGTCTGCTGACATTCAAATAATGGAGGTCTATGGCGCCCGAGGCAGAAAGGTCCATAAAAGTCCACAAAAAACGTGTCAATATTCCTCCATACTGCTCGTCCAATGTATTCCAAGTGTCCTGAGTGGGTAGCGTCCAGAATTTACTCGAAACGAAGTCATTTAGAATGTTTTTAGAGCATAAACAGTAGTGTATAGGATTTCCTGAAAGCGCGCACCTGCGCATTCATGACGCTACGGAAGCCGGCAGACCAAACCAGATGAAAGTGCGCATTCAGCGTCTGCTCTGCCAATAATGCAAGCGTAGAAGAAGAAATGTACCGTTTACCTGTGCAAAGAAAGAAACAACGAAAGAAAAATGTCTGAGGACTTCAGTGTTGAGGAAGAGCATGAGTTCTTTGCTGAGCTGAATGCGCACTTTCATCTGGTTTGGTCTGCCGGCTTCCGTAGCGTCATGAACTCGCAGGCGCGCGCTTTCAGGAAATCCTATACAGGTGCTGGTCATAAAATTAGAATATCATGAAAAAGTAGATTGATTTCAGTAATTCCATTTAAAAAGTGAAACTTGTATATTATATTCATACATTACATACAAACTCATATATTTCAGATGTTTATTTTGTTTAATTTTGATGATTACAAATGACAACAAATGAAAATCTCAAATTCATCATATCAGAAAATTAGAATATTACTGAAGACCAATAAAAACAAAGGATTTATAGAAATGTTGGCCAACTGAAAAGTATGAACATGAAAAGTATGAGCATGTACAGCACTCAGTATTTAGTTGGGCCTCCTTTGGCCTGTATTACTGCAGCAATGCGGCGTGGCATGGAGTCGATCAGTCTGTGGCACTGCTCAGGTGTTTTGATAGCCCAGGTTGCTCTAATAGTGGCTTTTAGCTCTTCTGAATTGTTGGGTCTCGTGTATTGCATCTTCTTCTTCACAATACCCCATAGATTTTCTATGGGGTTAAGGTCAGGAGAGTTTGCTGGCCAATTAAGAACAGGGATACCATGGTCCTTCAACCAGGTACTGGTAGCTTTGGCACTGTGTGCAGGTGCCAAGTCCTGTTGGAAAATGAAATCTGCATCTCCAAAAAGTTGGTCAGCTGCAGGACGCATGAAGTGCTCTAAAACTTCCTGGTATGTGGCTGCGTTGACCCTGGACCTCAGAAAACACAATGGACCAACACCAGCAGATGAAATGGCACCCCAAACCATCACTGACTGTGGAAACTTTACACTGGACTTCAAGCAACGTGGATGAAGTGCCTCTCTTCTTTTCCTCCAGACTCTGGGACCTTGATTTCCAAAGGAAATGCAAAATTTACTTTCATCAGAGAACATGACTTTGGACCACTCACCAGCAGTCCAGTCCTGTTTCTCTTTAGACGCTTCTGACGCTGTCTGTGGTTCAAGAGTGGCTTGACACAAGGAATGCGACAGCAGAAACCCATGTCTTTCATACGTCTGTGTGTGGTGGTTCTTGAAGCACTCACTCCAGCTGCAGTCCACTCTTTGTGAATCTCCCCCACATTTTTGAAGGGGTTTTGTTTCACAATCCTCTCCAGGGTGCGGTTATCTCTCTTGCTTGTACAGTTTTTTCGACCACATCTTTTCCTTCCCTTCGCCTCTCTATTAATGTGCTTGGACACTGAGCTCTGTGAACAGCCAGCCTCTTTAGCGATGACCTTTTGTGTCTTGCCCTCCTTGTGCAAGGTGTCGATGGTCGTCTTTTGGACAACTGTCAAGTCAGCAGTCTTCCCCATGATTGTGTAGCCTATAGAACTAGACTGAAAGACCATTTAAAGGCTTTTGCAGGTGGTTTGAGTTAATTAGCTGATTAGAGTGTGGCACCAGGGGCCATCAATTTTGAACCTTTTCACAATATTCTAATTTTCTGATATGATGAATTTGAGATTTTCATTTGTTGTCATTTGTAATCATCAAAATTAAACAAAATAAACATCTGAAATATATGAGTTTGTATGTAATGTATGAATATAATATACAAGTTTCACTTTTTAAATGGAATTACTGAAATCAATCTACTTTTTCATGATATTCTAATTTTATGACCAGCACCTGTACACTACTGTTTATGCTCTAAAAACATTCTAAATAACTTCGTTTCGAGTAAATTCTGGATCCTACCCACTCAGGACACTTGGAATACATTGGACGAGCAGTATGGAGGAATATTGACACGTTTTTTGTGGACTTTTATGGACCTTTCCGTCTCGGGCGCCATAGACCTCCATTATTTGAATGTCAGCAGACAGCAAGAAGCCTCCCGGATCTCCAAATGCATTTGAGATATCAAAAAAGTACTCCAGAGTGTTGTTCAGCATGGGGGTGAGTAGAAAATGAAGGCTAATCATGTTTTGGGTGTACTATTCCTATAATGTTCACAAATCATGACAGAAAGAACATTTTAGTACAAAGACTGATGTTTAAACAGGAACTGTTGGGGACCAGCTAAGGACCCATCAAGGGAAGTGGGGAAATTTTGAATGGCTACTACTGTAATTAAAGTCGTAGGAAGCGGCTGTTCCAACCGATATATTTCCGAATTCTCCCGAGTGGAGCCCGACTTTACACGAGTGAATAAAGTCTAGGGATGCACGATATTGGGATTTTGGCAGATATCCGATATGCCGATATTTTAAAACTCATGTAGCCGATAACCGATATCGATACCGATGTTAAAGCTGGACAAAAATAAGTAGTCATTGAAAATAGCAGTTTTGTTATCCATTTCTGACACTTTGAAAAATAATATACTCTAATATATTTTCATATGCTGATATCAAATAGATTTTTAAAAACGCGGTATCGATCCATTTTACTTTCAAAATCTCGGGAAATTTCATCGTTCTGTTTCAAATTCTCGTGATATTTTGCAAATTCTTGTGAGATTTTGTTAGTAAAATAGATCGATAACGCGTCAATATATCAACATATAAAAATATGGCAACATTTTGTGATATTTCGGGGGATTTCGTAGCAGAACGATGACATATAGCAATATTTCATTAGTAAAAGAGATTGATATGGTGTTTTTAAATGGCAATATATCAGCATATGAAGATATTGCGATATTTTAATGTATCAATATTTTTTCCCTCGTCTTTAGAAGTTTTTAAAGGCACACTATGCAACATTTTTCAGTTAATTAATGTGTTCCATAACGTTATGGTTGATTAAATTAGTAATTTCAGGTTGAACAAAGGTATTCTCGGCCGCCCTGGTGGTCTGTGGGGGAAATACCGCACTTGCAATTGCAGGAGCACCGACCCGCACCCACAGGCTCAGAAGTCTCGTGAGAGTCAGTCTTGCTTTACGGCGAGAACTGCTACACGCCCCCAGTTAAAAGCATTCTCGTTGCTAGCACAGTGGCAATCTTTGTGCAGTTATGCTACGTTCACGCAGCAAAAGCAGCAAAATCGCGTCTGCTGCTTCCTTTTTGCTGCTTGTACCAGTTAGTTCTGACGCGCGGCTGAAGCAGCTTTGCTGCTCTGGCTGCGCGGTGCAAAAGTGTGTCTGACGCGCGTTGGGCGGAGCTTCAGTATCCTTTCTCTGCCTTGCAGCTATATTTGCTGTGATCAGTGGGAATAAAGTAGTTTTAATATGTGTTTAAGTGAGAAAATACACCTGAAAACGTAATCAGTGCAGTCAGTTCATTCAGATTATTATCCTGCCTTCAATATTTTTTCTGTCGGAGCCGCTCAGACCCCCACATACCAGGGATGTGCCGACAGTATGGATCCCTTCATCAGCAGCGGTTCACCACGGCAGCTGGTAGGTGTTTTTCATCTAAATAATCCAAACTGCTTATTCTGCCGGCAGATTTCTGCATTTTAAGTTAATTTAGGCGTCAATAAACTGTTTAAGAGGAGTGATCATCAGCGCTGTGTCTCTCTCCCTGCGTTAAACGCACCCGACGCGCTGCTTCAGCTGCTCAGACGTGCTGCGCCTGCTGCTCAAAACGCACCGCGGGACCTTTTGCTGCGCCTTGACGCACGTCAACCATTGACTTTGCATGTAAACTCACTGCTTCTGTCGCGCCAGCTACGTCCAGTGTGAACGCAGCATTAGTCATTCGCTGCTAAGCTCAAAACAACCGCGCCTGGCTTGACGGAGAAACCAGGAGAACAGCTGAGCATATTTACGACAGTGCACTT